AAGACCCGCTCCGCCGCGGCCCCCACCCAGGGCCCCCACCCAGCCGTTCGTCTGTGAAAACGCGCGAGAAAACAAGAAGCTGGACAGGGAGATGGGAGGTCAGGGAACAGGGTCGGTTTACATTTACAGGGTCTTCCAAAAATTTGAAGGATGATTGGGGCCGACGGGTGGGGGCTGGAGAAGGGGAGAAGAGGTTGCAGGTGGGAAGAACGGCATGTGAGTTTGCGGAGGAAATTAGCAAAGGTGACTAAAGCGCGTAGAACAGTGCCTGACACACAGTAGGTGCCGTGTCACCATCACCCCACCAGTGTAACTGTCCCCCGCCCTTAGCCGCGGAAGGCAGCCGGGGTCAGTGTGAAGAGGCTCTGAGACTTGAATCTGCCTCTTTCCTCCACACCAGGCGATGGCAGTGCTGACGGACCACCCCTACGCCTCCCTGACCCTCCCAGACGATGCAGCCGCTGACTGTCTCTTCCTGCGTCCCGGGGTGCCTGGTGTGCCCCCTTTCCTCCTGCACCGTGGAGGGGGGGACCTGCCCAACAGCCAGGAGGTGCGGGAAGGCAGGAGCTCCAACCACCACCACCCGAGAAAGGCATCTCAGGCCTTTGGAGGAGGGGAGGGAGGGATACCTTCTCTGGGAGCCTGGGCGGGACCGCCCTGAGCTGGCCGCAAGGGGCGTGTGGCTGTGGCCTCAAGGCCTCACTCCCGCCTCCCCGCCCCATGTCCTCCCTGCAGGCACTGCAGAAGCTCTCCGAGGTCACCCTGGTACCTGTGTCCTGCTCAGAGCTGGAGAAGGCAGGTGGTGGGCTCAGCTCCCTCTGCCTGGTACTCAGCACACGCCCCCACAGTTGAGGGCGTGGCCTTGGGGTCTTGGCTCATGGGGGTGGGGCAGCATACGGAGTAGAAGGGGGGAAGGAGGGTTAGACAGAGGGTGGTAAATAGTGGGGAGGGGGCCCCAAGATAGGGAGAGGGCATAGTGGCGGGGCATAGAAGCCATTGGGTGAGTCTTCTCTCCCGGAGCTAATAAAATAGAACCGACCTTTCGGACTGGGCTGTGGCTGCTGTTCTACTGGGGCAGAGGGACGGGCAGGGCTAAAATCTGACGTTGGGGATAATGCTGGGAAGGCGGCCTCTTTCACTCATCAAACCCTCATTAGGCACTTGCTGAATCATTGCCCAGCCCTGTGTCATAGGTGCTCAGGCAAAGCCTGTACAGGGCAGAGGAGAGAGAGTATGGGTGGATCACCTGCTGAATTTATCTAAATCTCAGATGATTCAGAGATTGGTATATTACTAGCTCACCCCTAGTTGATAGGAAGAAATGACGTTTGCAGAGATATTAACTTTTATTCACTCATTTACTGAGACTTAGCAGTGATATGAAAAGGGTCAGTCTCCTGATATCAGAGAACTCACATTTCTTACAAAGTGAAAGACAGGTCGTGATGGGACAATTCACAGGAGGCTGTTGCTATGAGAGAAGTAAGAGGACTCCCAGGGCATCAAAAAGTATGCAGGATGGCAAAGAGGGTCAGAATGGCTTCCCAGAAGGCTACGCTTGAACTGAGTCCTGAGGATTAATAATAATTAGCCAGGCAGGTAGTGGAGAGGAGGGAAAAGGGTAATCCATGAAGAAGGAATTGCATTGGACAAAGGCATACAGCACTTGGGGCCTGGGGAGAATTTCTTCAAGGCTGGTGTGTTGTGTGCATGTGATGTGACAGAGATATGCCTGGAGAGCAGGCAAGATACTGCAGTACCTTGTACCCAAAGCCAAGGCCCGTGGGCCCAGAGCTGAAGGTTAAGGAAAGAAATGCTACAGATCTGAAATACAGGCTGTCAGAAGCAGGCTGGTATTTGGGAAGGATCTCTCTGGCTTCAGGGAGGAGGGCAAGGGCAGAAGGATGAGGTGGGGCTATGGGCAGCCCAGGGAAATGAGGACAGTACATTCAGGTGGCAGCCCTGGACACGAAGAAGGCTGTAGATTTGACGGTGATGTTAAAATAGAATAGCAGGACTTGGTTCATTGTGTGGGGGAGGAAGGATGCTGCATGACTCTCAGTTTCTGGCTTGGGCAACAGGGTTGATCAAGAGCAAATACAGAAGAGGTTTGGGAGATGACAATGAGCTTTGGACTTGCTGTGCGCAAAACGTGTAGGGCTAGATAGGAAGGGATGTCTGAGGGATAGTTTGGAAATCCCATGTCTGAGATCTGATCTGGAGAGAGTTCTGGGTGTCATTTGCCAAGGTAAGGGATAAGGCCACTGTGGTAACAGCTTCCCAGAAGAGGAAGGCAGATAGAGGGCAAACCTAGAATGGTGGGGAATACCATGGGGGAAGGGAGACAGGAAAAGGAGTCCAGGAGGAAGATATCAGCATTAACAAAAACAGCTTAAGGAAGGGAGTCATCAAAAGCCAAGTCAGGCGAATGCTAAAGAATGTCTACTGGGTGTGGCCATTAGGACACCACCGGCAACCTCGTGGCCGTGGAGCAAAGAAGAAAATGGAAGAGCGGTGCAGGCCCCTGGGTGGAGGAGCCTGATTGGAGGGGAGGGAAGAGATGAGACAACTATCTTGGAGTGGCTGATGTTGTAAGATGGGGAGACAGGGCTTGATGAGGTTTAGAGAGGAGACACGGTGGAGGTCCAGTGATAAAGGAGGCACAGAGGTTATAGGAAATGGGGTAACAGAAGGAGCAAGATTGGCAGCAGGGATAGCCTGGAAGCCAGCTCTCCTGACTCCCAGTCTAGTGCTCATTTCTACCCCATGGTGCCTTCATTTTCCGGGGAAAGTCGGAGAGGGAGAGGGTGGTTATGGAGAACTGGGAGGCCCCAGCTTGTGATGTTTGGAGTAAGGGCTTTCCTTCAAACTACAACCGCATAGATGGTGGAGGAATCAGCAGGGACCACTGGGGACAACCGGTGGGGCCTTCGGAGGGCCATGTGATCCAGGTCTGCGTAGAGTAGGCTCTGAAAGTTGGGGAGGAAGGCAGCAGTGTCTCAGGAGTGTGACTCCTCGGCAATCCGGGCCTCTGTCTCTCTTGGTCCACTTTTCTCGGATTCTGGCCAGTCCCCTCCCGGTCCCCAAGCCCTTACCGACTCCTGGTCCGGGTCCCCTGCAGTCTTGGGCTCCTCCTCCTTTACTGGTCTCTGCGGCTCGGCTTTCACCAGTGGAGCTATGAGGGAAGGGACAGAGATGGACTGAGAGAAGGTGGCCAACTGGTCTGCTCCCAGCAAGGGCTCGGACTCAGGAAGCGAGGGTGGGGAATGTGCGGGGAGAGGGGACTGGGGTGGAGTTAGGCTCACCAAGTCTGGGGCGGGGCCGGAGCGGGTGCGAGCGCCTGTCAAGGATGTACAATACTCTCAGAAAGCCATCAGTGTCGTCTCCCTGGAGCCGGGCTCCCGGCCGCGCCAACGCTACCCTGCAACTTGCAGGCTCTGACCCGCAGAACTTAGGCCCCGCCCCACGCCC